CCCAACATCTTTTGTTCACGAACCTGGCACAGTGTGCTGTTGACCTCTTTTCAATAGGGGCCAGATTAGCATGCAGCGGTGCTGTGTGGCTCATCGCTGCGATGGTGGAGCGCTTTTGTCCACAGTGGTAATCAGCTCACTCTAAATGCCCCAAACCGTGGTACACTGTTTCAAAACAAGGCTGAATTATCTCCACTTTTGAGAGTGAAAAAATGTTGGTAATGCCCAGTGGCCTGGTCTTTTGTTCCGAGTACGGTGTTTGTTACAAGGCCCAGTTCCCTTTTAGGGTTCTCCCCAGGATTTTTCAAAATTGTAGGGGTTTTCCATTGTGGTTTACCAACATTTTGTGAAGCCATTGTGATCATACCTGGCGCCTTCTGTGCACGTGCTGCAGGTGGCTGCTTCGTCTGCCTTTGGGTTTCCCTCTTTGCACAGACTGCTGATGTTTTTGGCTTATGTGTATCTTTGGTTGAGTTTCTGCCTTTTTGCGTGAGACAAAACGCGGTGAAATGGCAACGAGAAATATCGTCCCCGTCGTAGATGCCATTAATACTGTTACAGAGGCTACGGCTGCCGCCATGAACAAAAACGTGTGTGGGGTCGATGTTGGAAGTTCTGTGAATGGCGTGTATTGAGCACATGGCACAGAGAAAACACATACATGTATGCGTGCGGGTGCATGTACGACGCCCATGACGAAGTTCAGATTTCATGCAACACCGGCCACGAGGAACGTTCAGTGCCGATGTACATGTACGGTGTGCAGTGTGGCCGCCAAAGCGTTGTGCACTTACATGTACTATGTAGGGTACGTACATGTATAGTATGTACACGTACACAGAAAAATGCAGGACTATTAACTGCTTTTTCGTCTAGATTTTCTGGACATGCAATCTGCATTATGTTAAATAAATGTAATTCTGAGCTATACTATCATAATTATATTGTGCGTATCGGGGATGAAAAAATGGGTATCGGCCCATTTTTAGCCTATCGGGCAGAAAGAATTGCATATCGGGTCCGATACGCAAGTTTGTAAGTGGGGACAACCCTACCTTTGTCCGAGTTCAGAGACCCCGGCCATGCATATAAAGCATACATGTCCGGTACCGGAATCCCCTGGCAGGAAGTGTTTAAAGCAATTCTTTTGTTACTAGTGCTAAAAAAACTATAACATAACTTTATACATGTGTAAATGTTGAATTACATGTATTGTGGGGGTTGGAAAGGAACAAGCGATTAATAAATTTTTGATCATTGTATAATGAATGCTTCTCTAGAGGACAAACATAACAAAGAGGGTCTTTATAACAAAATGTATGTCTATAATTAATTTAGAAGAATTAGCTTTTATTGACAAGGTCATTACAATGATAAATCTTTTTTTTTTTATTATATTTTGTCAGTCAAGTGGTCTGTTATCACTTTGCATCATGGGATAACCAGAAGGAATGGACAACATCAATGCCCAAGGGAGAAAACATCAAGGTATACAAATCATTTCAAAATTCTTCTTAGGATAGACTTGAAAGAGGTCTTTGAAGCATCAACAGTGTTTTGTTAAATGCTTTGGTATGAATGCTTCATTTACATTCCTAGTCTAAACAAGTCCAAGTTTTTCAAGTGTATGTATGTTCCAGCTAAGAACATCACTAGGGCTGAGTCAATTCAAANGTGGGTGTAAGGATTTTATGTTGTGACTAGTGCTGCAACCAAATTACTGAACTAAACCTAAAACGATAAAACATTACACTTCTGAACTGATCTGAAATGAACCAAGCTGGTCAAAGCTGGATACTCAGCATTTATGACATGGTGTTGGAGGGTTCGACCTTAACAGTAGCCATTAAATGCCAATGCTGCGATGTGTCCTTCCGTTTAATGTCTTCATTGTACAGCGCATTTGAACATATCTCTATATGAAATTCACGCTTTATATATTAATAAGTATTATTATCTTTAACCACTTGCTGCCGGGGGCAGTTATTAATGTTGATGATGCTGGGACGGGATATTTATCATTTTTTTCAGTTTTCAAAATTCTTTAAAAATTTTCATTTACTGGACACACTTAATCCAAAGGAACTGTCTGGTGGCCACTCTAGCCTGACAGACAAAATCTATTTATGCCCGAGTATTTCAGCCAGGCCTGCTACCTTGTAAAAATAGCCCAGATTTTGCGGTGTTATATAACTTTCTTTTGTTCACGAACCTGGCACAGTGTGCTGTTGACCTCTTTTCAATAGGGGCCAGATTAGCATGCAGCGGTGCTGTGTGGCTCATCGCTGCGATGGTGGAGCGCTTTTGTCCACGGTGATAATCAGCTCACTCTAAATGCCCCAAACCGTGGTACACTGTTTCAAAACAAGGCTGAATTATCTCCACTTTTGAGAGTGAAAAAATGTTGGTAATGCCCAGTGGCCTGGTCTTTTGTTCCGAGTATGGTGTTTGTATAAGGCCCAGTTCCCTTTCAGGGTTCTCCCCAAGATTTTTCAAAATTGTAGGGGTTTTCCATTGTGGTTTACCAACATTTTGTGAAGCCATTGTGATCATACCTTCCTTCGCTGGCGCCTTCTGTGCACGTGCTGCAGGTGGCTGCTTCGTCTGCCTTTGGGTTTCCCTCTTTGCACAGACTGCTGATGTTATTGGCTTAAAAAAGAGCCTACGTGTATCTTTGGTTGAGTTTCTGCCTTTTTGCGTGAGACAAAACGCGGTGAAATGGCAACGAGAAATATCGTCCCAATCTTAGATGCCATTAATACTGTTACAGAGGCTACGGCTGCCGCCATGAACAAAAACGTGTGTGGGGTCAATGTTGGAAGTTCTGTGAATGGCGTGTATTGAGCACATGGCACAGAGAAAACACATACATGTATGCGTGCAGGTGCATGTACGACGCCCATGACGGAAGTTCAGATTTCATGCAACACCGGCCACGAGGAACGTTCAGTGCCGATGTACATGTACGGTGTGCAGTGTGGCCGCCAAAGCGTTGTGCACTTACATGTACTATGTAGGGTACCTATAGTATGTACATGTACACAGAAAAATGCAGGACTATTAACTGCTTTTTCGTCTAGATTTTCTGGACATGCAATCTGCATTATGTAAGATAAATGTAATTCTGAGCTATACTATCATAATTATATTGTGCGTATCGGGGATGAAAAAATGGGTATCGGCCCATTTTAAGCATATCGGGCAGAAAGAATTCCATATTGGGTCCGATACGCAAGTTTGTAAGTGGGGACAACCCTACCTTTGTCCGAGTTCAGAGACCCCGGCCATGCATATAAAGCATACATGTCCGGTACCGGAATCCCCTGGCAGGAAGTGTTTAAAGCAATTCTTTTGTTACTAGTGCTAAAAAACTATAACATAACTTTATATATGTGTAAATGTTGAATTACATGTATTGTGGGGGTTGGAAAGGAACAAGCGATTAATAAATTTTTTATCATTGTATAATGAATGCTTCTCTGGAGGACAAACATAACAAAGAGGGTCTTTATATCAAAATGTATGTCTATAATTAATTTAGAAGAACTAGCTTTTATTGACAAGGTCATTACAATGATAAATCTTTTTTTTTTTATTATATTTTGTCAGTCAAGTGGTCTGTTATCACTTTGCATCATGGGATAACCAGAAGGAATGGACAACATCAATGCCTAAGGGAGAAAACATCAAGGTATACAAATCATTTCAAAATTCTTGTTAGGATAGACCTGAAAGAGGTCTTTGAAGCATCAACAGTGTTTTGTTAAATGCTTTGGTGTGAATGCTTCATTTACATTCCTAGTCTAAACAAGTCCAAGTTTTTCAAGTGTATGTATGTTCCAGCTAAGAACATCACTAGGGCTGAGTCAATTCAAATAATTCACTTTTCAAATATTTCAATACTTTTGCCCTGTTGAAAATTTCAATTGGGACAGCGTGCAGTGCGTGGATCAAATATTTGAAAAGTGAATTAATAATGTATATTTTGAATCATTGTAAGATTTATGTCACTCTTCATTTGGATCTGCTTGAAATTAGCCTCCATAGTGCAATTTTTCTCATTTAAAATAAAATTTTTTCCCTTTTCATGAATTTTGCATTCAAGTATTCAAATTTGGAAAATAATATTTGAGTATTCGATAATCAATCAAATATTCAGTTATTCGGATATTCCGCTCAGCCCTATACATATTCCGAATGGAGTGTGGAGATACATGTACAGGATGTTTCAATTGAAAGCAAATACTTTGAATTGGAATTTGAAATTTGAATTCACACTCATTTTCACAAGACATGAAAATAATTTCCCACATTTGTGAAAAGGTGCAAAAATCATTTCCCACTGTGGGAAAAGTTTTTCACATCTCACTCTTTTATAAAAAAATAAATTCCCTGGGGAGAGTTAATTGAAGAGAATTTTTGATGCCCAGGTTAACTCTCAGTTGTAAGTACTGTACAGTGACAAATGATCCTTTGAATTTGTGCATTGTTTACAGTGTTTAATGCATGTCCAGTGACAAATGGATAGATGACCTTGGCATCTGTGGTGTTTGTTTGCCATTTCAAAAGATACAATATACATCAACAGTACAAAATTGGCGACATTTCCAAATTGTATAATTTTGCAGCATTTTTCTCTCTACATTCTTCCTAAGCTACTTCATGTGGTTTTATGGGTATAAAGGAGACACTGAAGTCAAGAAAAAAATTAAGCAAGGTACAATACAACGATCCAGCCTTAAGTTTCTAGTCAAACAATGTATCAGTGTTTGAAATAGTTCCAAAGATACAGTTTTGGATACAACCCTGATTCTTTTACCTCTAATACATAGACACTGACCCTTGGTCATGGATGGCTGGCTGTAGCAACCGACAAACGTCTAGTGCGGCTGTTTAGTATTGGTGGTATGCAGCGAGAAGTTATTGCCTTACCTGGCCCAGTAGTGTGCATAGCTGGTCATGGTAACCAACTCATCATTGTCTACCATGCTGGGACAGGTAATGCATGTACATCTGTGTTTACATATCACAATAGATCTTTCTCTCCTGTCCAGAACATTTCTTTTATAGCTCACTTAATTCCTCATGTTGCTTGGTTTGAGGTTTGTGTACTGATTAGCACAGCACTTCTCTCAAAAAGAAATTACTGTCAAAGGTTTAATGTTTTAATCAAAGCGAAAATCTTTCTCAAAGGCAGGAAAAGTTTCTGCCAGAAAGTAGTGTTTGGCCCTCACAATTGTTGTGATCCGTGTGTTACTGGTTGCACCGGTTCGTTAGCAAAGTTGAAGCAGTTTTTTATATTTTTTTAAGGAAATGTAAGATATTAGCATTTTACAGCTTTTTGTGGTCATAAAGTAAACTGACGGAAATTGAAATAGCTGGTTTCCAGTGCCATCCCAGGGTCATCATACAATCAAATCTGACTGGCTTGTAACGAATCTGATGTTCTTGTGTGATGCATTTATGAATATTAATGAAGTGCAACCAATTATTTAACATGATGCATTCACATTCACGTGTATAGGAGTTCCAGGTGAGCAGTGTTTAGGAGTCCAGTTACTACACGTAGGAGGGAGAAAGAAATGTTGCATTGTCTCGGGGGATAGGTTACCAGTTAGTCCAAAGGCCACTCTGGTCTGGCTTGGGTGAGTGCTTTATGTTTGAAAATGAAAGATTATTA